GGGGGGGGCGCAGGGGGCGGTTCTCACCTTGTCCAGAATGAATTTGTTGAGGTAAGGCATGTACCCCTGGTTAGACACCGGACCTTCATCATCGTCCCTGAAGTGTTCTTCCAGGGCCACTGGATCATGAGGAACGTTGAGCAGTGTGCAGAGGTTGTGCGAGAGGACCTGCGAAGAGACACAGAGAGGATGATGTCAGAGCCAGGTAGACAAGGCAACTGCAAACCTTCCCGAATGGCTCCTAACGTGACCGAGCCTTTTCCAGTCCCCGGACTCTTCCCCATTAGCACTGGACTGGATTCTCCCTAAAGACATTCCCCACACATGAGGACATCCTCCATGCGCCTGACCTATGTAGAGTGACCTATGCTATACATATGCTTGACAAAAGCATTGAGCCTTGAGATCCACTAGATGGCGCTGAGACTGACAGTCATTTTGGTGTCACCCCCCCTCTGAAAAGTAGGGCACTCTGTCAGGGACCGAGCCCAACAGTTGCTCGAGAGAGAGAGAGGGGAGGGGACCCGGCGGCATACCTTATCCCACCAGGTGACGTCCCCTCCTCTCTCTGCCGGCGTCCGTCACCAAGATGGCCGCCGGCAAGTAACAGCGGTACAGCGCTTGACGTCATCACGTGCATGTGCGATGACATCACTGCGGGGTGTCACCCGGTACCCCACCTCAGGACGCCTCTGAGATCAGCCCTTGGGATGAGCTCAGGTTTGGGCTGAACCTGGTCTGAAACCTAAGCTCCTCTGAACACGGAAGCTACATGGGCCTCCCGGGCACGGAGCTGGGGGGCGGGGCATTCCCTCCCTGGGCACGGAGCTGGGGGGCGGGGCATTCCCTCCCTGGGCACGGAGCTGGGGGGTGGGGCATATTCCCTCCCCTGCAGCTAATCATAAACACAATGCAGCGATGTCATTCACCTAATATAGCCAATGACATGACTGCATCCTGCTCCATTGCTTAGGTGCACCTGCAGGCGGGGAATTCCCCAGTCGCAGCTGATTGGGCTGCAAGTTTCGAGGAGTTCATGTTCGGTTCTTGTTTGGTCCGAATGTGATGTTGTTTTAATCAGCCCCAATGCATGACCATCAGACCACAGATCGGCCCCAACGCATGACCATCAGACCACAGATCGGCCCCAATGCATGACCGTCAGACCACAGATCGGCCCCAACGCATGACCATCAGACCACAGATCGGCCCCAATGCATGACCATCAGACCACAGATCGGCCCCAACGCATGACCATCAGACCATAGATCGGCTCCGACGCATGACCACAGATCGGCTCCAATGCATGACCATCAGACCATAGATCGGCTCCGACGCATGACCATCAGACCACATATCGGCCCCAATGCATGACCGTTAGCCCATAGATCGGCCCCAACGCATGACCCTCAGACCACAGATCGGCCCCAACGCATGACCATCAGACCACAGATCGGCCCCAACGCATGACCATCAGACAACAGATCGGCCCCAATGCATGACCATCAGACCACAGATCGGCCCCAACGCATGACCATCAGACCACAGATCGGCCCCAACGCATGACCATCAGACCACAGATCGGCCCCAACGCATGACCATCAGAC